TTAACAAAAATTATCAACATCGGATTAGTATCGACAATTTGACTGCTTTACATAGGATAGCTGTTCTTTCCTGTTATTATTGGTTTTTAAGTAATAAATATACAAAAAGAAAAAATTATAAAAACTACTTTGTCATGTATTTTCAGAATTAATTTGACGGTCAATATAGAATCAGTTATAAAAATAATACAATGCCCCACACAACAGTGCACAAGTCCTATGTACACACACATATTGTCCTATTTGTATACTCTTAGGTAGATGCATGTGTGTGTGTGTATATAGCATAGCAACACATACACATACAAATGTAAGTACGATCACGTAGGAACACACACAAAACAGAGAACTGTCCGAGAAATTTCAATGAACAATGGAAAACCCAAATCAATAAAACACTGCACCGCAGGGGACATAACTAAGGATCAGACAGAGAGAGTAGAGTAGAGGAGACCCTCGCACACGTGTTCACAAAGAAAAGTGGCCGACGCATTGGGATATTATTCCAAAAAATTCTAACGGACAATTTAGTCCAAATTTGTTTCGTTTTCTTTTTTCAAAGTCGACTTTAGTGGCTCTAGACTTTAGTCGATTGCTGGTTATACATACAGATATATTATTTTATATTGACAAATAACTTATAATAAATGCAATGTCGTAGACGTAATAGAAACCTGATGACTTTCATTACTACAAATGCAACTTGATCGTTTTTCGTAGCACTTGACAATTAGGACACTTGGGCGACGGCGACAGATTGAAGTAAAATGTGTGTTCGTAAATATCACTTACAAAAACGACCACCGATGTCTGGTGTCCCGACCGCTGTTATATTTGACAACAGCTAGTCTGTGTTTTAATCTCAAGTGGAGCTCATAAACACAAACCTCAACAACTCGGAGAGTCATTTTCCATTTCCATTTCCATTTTTCAATTTCACTGAAATTAAGTGCCGCTAAATGGAATGTGAACACTGTCTTCAATCGCATTGGTTCATTCATTAACTATCAGTTTCTGTGGGTTCAAGCGTTTCAAGTGCGGCTGCATCTTGCATGCAAATGTTTACCATGCCCCAATAATCTTTACTAATCAGCAATGAAAGCCAGCCCATATGCTTGCCTACATAGTGAACTCTATATTCTTGTAATATGATACATACATAGTCCCAAACTGATCCTGAAAGGTTCTTACACATACACATATGTATGTATGTATCTAGATAATCAAGTTAGCTATCGATGACAAAGATAATACAATCTTAGCACATATCAGTGAAATACCCGATAGCTAACGAGCCTTAAAGTGTTGATTGACTCCAACATGATTTTCCATTTAGGCTTCACATATATTTTGGTTTGTTGAACATGTTGAAGATACATTATCTTTGGCTGCTATCGACACTACACTTAATTTTCCAAACACATAAATTCAAAAGAGTTCGTGCTTGTGTTGCACTATTTAATCTGTTGCTCAAAATACTTTTCTTTTATTCAACAGGTAAGAATTTGAACTGCGACAGGTACGCCCATCCGCAAGTCCGTTAGTCGTTAGACGTTAGACGACAATAATCAGCAGGACGCCGGCGCCAGTACGTTTTTCATTTAATTTCCTCCTTTGTGTTTGACATTCTTAGAATCGCAAGAAATTTTCTAGAATTTTTTGTCTATAGTGCGATTTGTCACACCTGACGAACAGAGAGTAGCAGGCATAGATTCTTACCCATTTAAATGTCAACCTGTTGTTGCACATTAGAATCTATATACATACATATATACATATGTATACTTTGAGAACTAAGATACATCCATAAGATTTTATGCAAGGATAGGATTTAAGTAATAATTTAATGGTGTGTAGACTTTAATATAAATTAAAATCGTTTATAAATGATTTCAATTTAGTACAAAGAGTATCGTTCTCATATTAAACTTCGCTTATTAGGCGATCTTTTAGTCTTTTACTTGTATTAACTTAAACTATCAATAGAATATAAATATTTTTGTAAATGATAAATCTTGGCATACATCTGCCTTTTTGCAGCAGACAGTCAGAGTCGGTCGGATCTGATCCCTATATAAATTAGCTCTTAGAGGTTGAGTTGAGTTCTGGTATGAAAATCTATTTTGTTTACCAAGAAATCTAAGCCGAATTTACCCTATAAGCCTATATAAATCAAGCCCGGAGAACTATGTTTATAATACAGTTTCCATTGGAACGATCGGTCAGAAGATGAATTAACAAATCATCCTATCCAAAATTAACCCTATGCGTAATGTTATGTTTCTCACATGTGAAAAAAAGTAATTAGATCCGTCTAATATGTCATATACATATATATAACTATCCTAACAATTGCTCAAAATATGAGTTATTAATAGAACAAAAATCATCGAGTTCGGAATACTATATCAAAAATCTTTCATAATAAAAATCGATCGGATGAATGACTTTAAAGTGAAATTCAGATGTCGACTATTTGACTCCGATCTACAAATCTACATGTTATCTTTGGATGGATTTAGATAGTCGATGTATCCAAATTTTCTTAAAACACGTGCAAAAATCATTCGAAAGTCAGGTGTATATTTATTATCTGAGGAAGTTATAAACAATGAACAATCAGTATGAAGAGGGGGGTATATTATCACAAATTAAATATGGAAAAATTATAGTCCATCTACTAAATATTTCAGGACTGACAGATTAAGAGATTAAGCAACATGAACTTGCTTTCAGAAATAAAACTGTACCTGTTACATTTACCCAACCAGACCAAGTAAATGCAGTGAAAATAAATACCATAAATAATGTTTGGGCAATGGTATTTTAATCCGTTTCCGGAAGGTTACAATTTCGCTGCGTTGGACGTGATATTTTTCAGTTGCATTGCCCTTTTCTAATGCATTCTCTTGTATACAACATTCGATTGTATATTGTTGGAGATTTAGTGGCAGTGGGTCACACACGTGCAAGGGTCAGAACCCGCAAACGAACTCGGCAGGTAAAAACACCAAACGCATAAAAAAAAGATAAAGGGGATTTAATGAAACGAACCCTAAAATGACCCAAAACGAATGCAGTTCGTTAAAGAAGGGATAACTGCCATCACTCGAAGGCTTCAAAGAGCGATCGCCTCCAAGATGGTCTGATGATGTTGGCAGATAACCGAAAACGAGACTCACCAGCAAATGACTACGAAAGCGAACTATTGTCGAGAGTGCGCGACTCTCAGATACAATAAGAAAACACTTTAAAGAAAAATTAGGAGGGGGAGCGGAGGCCAAAGCAAAGAAGCGAACACGTTCAAACGTGTCATGTTTATGTGCTGTTACAAAGAAATGGGGAAAAGGAGTCCGAAAACAGGACAAAGACAAAGACAGCACCTTCGACTCAGTATGAAGAAAATGTCGATTTCACAATCAGAGCTACCAACACCGACCCTCCAAAGTAGATCCATTCGATAATAAACCGGATTTCATCTGAGAGTGCTGCAACAAGACTAAGTGTGCTTCTGGAACCAATTAGACATAGTTTTGCAGGTTTTCGCAACTTGCATCATTGTCTAAAATTACTAATGACAATAAATTTACAAAAGTCCTACTAAAGAATATAGAGTTATGTGTGTAGTAAGTCAGAAGAGATCTCAAGGATTGTAGAGTTATGCCTACAGTATATCTACGGTCTTTGGTTCAGCTAGATCCAGAAGACTCACCTTTTTATTTTTTTGATTAATTATTTAGCAAAGTCCATCTTATGTAATTCTCATAAGGTGGCCATCACTAAAGCACTTTCTACCGTGTCTTATATTTGGTAATGTTTAATATACTATGTTGTATGTAGTTTGACCAATAGATTTAAGTACCGAATTCTTTTTTACTAACCCTCAAAAATATACCCTACGTTTTAATGGTACAGATGTACATGTGTGTATGTCCCTTATATCCTGCATAAGTATTTGCTGAAGCACTACAATTAACAAAGAAAATTGCGAATCGTTTGGATAATAAAACAGAATTTAATTAAGAGTGCCCATCTATGCAGATTGTAAGTGAGCAACGAGCGCGGTCATGCAACAAGTGAGCAACGAGCGCGGTCATGCAACAAGTGGCATCGGATGCAGATAATAAATGGTCTCACTTCTACTATAGATTTGAGACAATTGCACAATTTATTGTATTTTTGTTATAATCAACGCAGTCATTTTAGCATAGAGAAGTTCTGGTGTCTTTTGGGTTCGACTAAATCGCGGGTAATAAAAAGATTTATATTTATGTGTATGTTTATTTGATTTTTTAAGTCAATGCGCACCAAATTGATAAACCCATTATCTTTTATTTGTCTAATTGCCCGCCCTTTTTACGGATTATTGTGGGCGTCTGGAGTAGTATGCGGAACAGTAATCAAACTTTATCTGCTCCTTAATTGTTGTTCATGATCAACAAAATAGATATACACATGTACACATATTTAATGGATGCTTGCATTAAACCCTTACAAAAATAAAAGTAACGTTTCTCAAAAAGGGGACATACAAACAACAATTGGAAGGCTCAAAAATAATTTGCCGACAAAATTCCTCAAAATTTGGAGTTTGAGGATGCATCATCCGCGTCGTAAATTTTTCACGCACCAACAGAGAGAGAGAGACAGAGAGAGAGAGAGCGGAGAGATGGAGAGATGCTAAAAACAACAATGACAAACAAATGTACTTGGAAACGGTTGTGTACCCACTACCTGACACTCAGACAACGCGGCATATCCCAAATAGCGCGTTAATTCGTTTTGACTAACCTTCAAAACCCAAATAAAATCGGGTACACAGAAAATACGTTATTTTCTACCTACAGGTTGGCATTTTTCGAGCTGTCTGAATGAAATGACGAACAAGTCGATTTTTCCAAACATTCCCAAGATTGCTGCGCAAGATATGTAAACTATTGTTTTTCTTGCTCCCTGCCAATTTCGGATAGTGTGTCGAATTTGTAAAATCCTCAGCATTTAGGGTTGGGTTTTTACAGACAAGTTACGACTTGTCCGTTTGGGATGGGATATTGGAAGATTTAATGCCTGGCAGGTAACGAGCGAGTGAGACAGAGCAACAAGAAGCCGTTTTTGTGAAACCAAAATATGCCAACCAAAAATCCACTTTAAAAATCTGGGAAATGTACAAACCAAGGCTCGCTCTCTCACTCTCTCGCTCTCTTTCTGTCAGTTGATGTGCAACCAACCACCTGCCTAAAGGGCGCATTTTGATTGGCTACAGCACCAGAGAGCATTGCGAGCGCAACGGGTATTTCGAGACAGCTCTCCCGAGCGTCGATCGTATAAAAGCAGGGTCTGTGTTGGCTGTAGAGCAGAACAGTGCCGACCAGCAACGTGAAAAGTCGTCCGCCACAGCTTTCATTTGTGTACAGAAACGAACAATTTTGATACATCGTATTCAGACAATGTCTTTTATCACACGGGAATACAAGTTCGAAAGCAGCATTATGATGCAGCGCAAATCAGATCAACATACAATGGCCATGCTGAGCTTGAAGAAACTCGTCAAACCACTGCTGCGACTGATCAAGAAGAAGCAGCTCATACGCAAGACTCTGGATGAAGTTCAATCGCAGAACGAAATCAACTCATCGCTGGAGGACATGCGCAAAGATTCCGTTGCCAGCTGTGACAATATGGCCAACGAGCAACTGGAGCAGCGTCTCATCAACGATCTGCGCCAGTGCCCCAACAATGCGGCGATCATTGTGCAACAGTCCGAACAACAACTCATTGTGCCAGTGCATCCCGATCAGACTTTCATACCGGTGCACTTTGCACGCACCAGCAGTGGCACCTTCTTCTGGACCTCGGCTGAGGGCGCTCGCCAGCAACTGAAGGAGAACACAATGCACGAGAGATACGATCGTTGGGTTCAGGCTTAATCCACATCGTCGTCGGGGGCGTTAACATTAATGTCAGCTTTAATACCAATTGTCACACAGTCCAATCGATTATTGGATGAGGTGATGAAATTGGTACGACCGTAATCTCAGGGTGATATTAGCTTAATTGGTTTGACTGGACTGGAAACCAACTCGCATTTAACACTTTCGATTATAAGTTTTGTAAATTGTTGTGATTTTACGATAGCTTTTCTTTCCTAGTATAGTATTAAGAGAATCATTGTCTTCCATGTTTGTTTGTTAGGTTACTTTTAGACTAAGAATCATTGTCTTCCATGTAAAATATATAAGCTACTACTAGTTAATTTTAAGCAAAGAATAATAAAAACTAGAGCTAGAAAAAAACAAAATTTGTTCCTTACTTGCATCATGTTCTCAATTTTTCAGCTTCAGCCAAACACTTAGGCTCTTGAAATACCAAAACACAACCCCCATGAAAATTGAAGGCATAGGAAAAAATCTGTGAATGGAATCATTGGAAATTCAATGCTGGTAACCGCATCCCAATTTAGTAAAATTCAAAACAAATAATTACAAAGCAATGCAATTGAGCGCTAAAAATGTATTTTTCTACGCCAACATATAGGATAATAATATCATACATTTCCTCCTCCTCTTTTTGATTTACAGAGAAATAAACGACAGTATATTCTTTGAATAGAGTCAGCTCGAGCATAATAATTGTTATTGTGACTTACTTTAAGACCTTAAATTTATTGAACGTTTGTGAAACTAGCTCGCGTATATATAAGAAAGTAAGAGCTAACGGATTTTAATTTTAATCTGTAGTAAAAGATATTCTGTTTTAAACAAATATGTTTTTATGTTTCTTGTTTCAATTTGTTCCTCACGAGAATATAATAATATGCTTTAAGACTAGCCAGAGTAGGAATTTCTTTGAAAGTGCTACATCTTATCTTGCCACTCCTTATGATGAAGCTTATAAGGCCTGGGGTGAGCCGCTGTTCCCATCTCATTTTACCCCATCGACGTTATTCATAGCTGCATATTTTAGCACTAAACTCTCAATTATTGGGAATAATCAATAATTGGGAATTATGTTGTTGCCAAAAACACTTCAATTAAAAAACCAGCTTGTCCAACATAACTGGAAATGTTACATTTTCGAAGATCTCAGCTTTCGATTTAATTTATTTAATTAAAGTCTTTCGGTACACCTATGATATCTAGTATTCATATGAATTGTAAAGCTGAATTCAACATTAGACTCAAATCCTCTAGAATCGTTGTAGTATACTTTTAAGATCACCAATATTGAGGTAACTGTATTTTTATCGAATAAGTATGCTATACAAAAATTATGCACATGATCTGATCAGATCTTATTACGATGTGTATCAAAATCCGAGTGGAACTAGTCACTTTCTGTCTATATGATGAAGTCGAGGTCAGAGGCTATAGGAGCTCCAGAAGACATCAAATTTTTAAAATAAGATCTCGTTCACCAAACGCAGATTAAGATTTATTACTTTATCGAAAGTTGCACCGAATATCAATTAAAGTCGATTTTCGATAGTAATAAGTTCAATTCAATTCAATTAATATCTCATTCAACTGATCAACTGTAAAATTTTCATTTAAATCGGTCAAGAAATATAGACTTTATATCCAAAACGTATTTTAATATTGACCAGAATAATATCAGCACACCTAATTAAAGAATTAATACATTTAACAATTGCGTTCAGAGCATCTCCTAGCCGAGCTCTTTCTCAGACTCTTCGGGGTATCTGCTAGTCGAGCTATGTATTTAACATCAGCTGAGGCTTAAAAGCACCTTATCCTTAACTAAGTTTTATCACTAATTAAACCAAAAATGAGCTAAGTGTTAGCCACAGACGAAAAAAAGATCAACTGAAAATAATCAAAATGCAATCCAAACTAATCCATTAACCTGACTACAATTTTGAAATGTCTAAACTACCTGTCATTATCAAATACATTCACGTCTAATTCTTTTCTGGCAACATGTGTTTAACGAGGGTTCAAGGCTTCATGCTCCGCTGTCAATCTATTGACCATGGAAAGACTAATCAAGGCACAAATTTCGTGAAAAGAAACTCCTCCGCAAAAAAAAAACCACTCAAATTACACACCGTGAGTAGGAAAGGAAAGTAGATAAAGGAATTTTTATATGATTGCCGCACATAAAGAAAAAAAAAACAATAAATATTCAACAGAAATTATCTCTCTCCCACGAAGTAGCCAAAAGATTGTTGATGTTTTGCCCTAAAAGTGGAAAGGCAGACAAGCGAGCCTGACACACGTGCAAGGAAAAGGACCCCCGACTACCTACCAGTAAATTACTCAAAGGACGGGAATGCGTGAGTTGCAATCTCAATGTATAGCAGCAGAAACACCTGCCTCAAGCGACGATGTGATTGGTTGATCAACGCTGTGCAAGTAGGGGATGATTTGCTTGAAGCTAACATATAAATACGCACAGATTCCGTAAGGTGAACATCAAATCACATCAACACTTGGACAAGTTCAGTCAATTGTACAATGGTTTATGAATTGCTTTCGAATGCTACGAGTAGTCCTCTAACATTGGACGTGAAGAAGACGATGAACTGCAGACCTCTTCAAAGTATCCGAAATGCTTTTAAAGTGGCATTCAAGAAAACCTTTAAATCAACAAAGCAAAATACTTCGATGGACATAAACGAGTTCAAACTTATCAAACCCTGTGATTTGAGGGCACTGGATGTGACAGCAAGCGAAATGTGATACAAAATAAAACTTTTGTTTTGAAAAGCTTTAAAAATAAAAGACACTTGATATTTTGTCTCTAAATATAATACAACTAGCTTAAAACTATACACGCATGTCTTCCTTAGTTATAAGTATAAAAATTAAATAAATTTCAAGCAATCACTAAAATTTGTTATTGAAAATTTCGTTTTTGAATTTGAAATAGGTGGAAATATTATTTTATTACGGTGTGGGGTCGTTTACATAAATTTACAAAATCTTTTCAAATGCTGATTGCATTCAACAAGTGCATACGTATGTATGTATATATATATTAATATATACAACGGCAACCCAAACATTCCATTTCAGAATAACAAATAGAACCGAAGCCTTTCTCGGCTACCTGTTCCTGCGCCCTTGGGTTCAAAACCTGTTCTCTCATTGAAAAAATAAAAAAATCATGTTGCCATCGGTGCTTCTTCTGTTTTTGTTTTCTTTATTTTGTTTTCTTAAGCTGTGCACGAAAAAAATCTCAGATTGCATTGGAACAGGTAGGGACAATAAATAAGACTATAGCCACAACCCTACGATGGACACAAGGGTCGACCTGACTAATAATGTGTTTGAACTTCGTTTCTTATTTCCCTCACACATTGCTGTTGCATACAAATATACGATTGATAACCACAAGATATCAGAGCCAGAATATTAATAGTCTAAGTCGTTTATGTATTACATCAGTCATTGAATATTTATTATTTTGTCTGCAGCTCTCTTAAATTTGATTTTCGTATAGAATATTAACAGAATAAGAAAATAAAAATACATTTTATGATAACTAACTAAATGTAAATATCCACTATCAGTATCAAACTAGCTTATAATCGGTAGAAATGCATAAAACCGACTGCATTTTATAGCAAACTTGAATCAAAAGCTGGTTAAAAAATATTTGAGAAATTATACAAATGTAGCTAAAATTTAACAAACTTTAGTAAACCTTATTAATACAATAACAAAAGGGGAAAAACCTTCCTTGGCCTACACAGCAGGACATTACTTTGCTGGAAATTGCAAAACAAATAATTAACCAATTAATGTACGGCACTGTCATTGAATGCAAAGGAAAATCCCAAAAATTTGGTTCCCACGTCAAATGTGCTGGCAGGATAATTGTGCTCAAAGACGTAGTCATGGGTTTCCCACGCTTCTAGCATTATTTGATTTGGGGCAAGTTGCCAGGACTCTTACCTGTTAAGTCTTGTGTATGCCACCACTCGGTTGAAACGTGAGAAATTTCAAGACCAGCACCTGCCACGTTGCGGCAACTGTGATTGGCTGAGATGCTGCAGCATCTCTCTGAAATCGCTTCTCTGAGACATCGACTTGGGTTTGAGGGAGAGTGTATAAATAGGCCGAGCAGGCCGGAGAGAGCATCAGAAACAGTTCGACTGCTGAAGCGACAACATACTCGTAAAATATTCACTCATCATTTAAAAAGCCAAACGTTTAAAGAAGCGCGAAGATGTCTGCCATAAATAAACAGTTCAATCACAACAATAAGAAGAAGTTGCCGATGTACTCGTATAAGTCGAAAGTGTCGCCAACACGTCGACTTAAGAATCTGCTGAAACCGCTAATTAGCCACATCTTCAAGCTAAAGGATAACAAGCAACCCAAACGGAGCTCATATATCGCATCGGAGGAGAAGGAAACTGAGTTCGATTGGCTGAGCAACGACATGGATAACATGTCGAATGAGCATCTCGAGAATCGACTCATCGAGGAGATACGTCAGTGCGCCAAGGAGGACGCAATCATTGTCTATGGCGATAACGGATCCGGCGAATTGCAAACATTTGATCAAGAAGAAGACTATTACGTCCCGGTACACTTCGCTCGCACCAATGCTGGTACTTTTTTCTGGACCTCCCTGCAACCGAAGTCGGCGAAGCCCTACGATATCGAATGGAACTTTCATGATCGCTGGGCACAGGCATGAACGACCAAATTAAAAGCGTATCTGGGTTTCAACTTCTTCATATCAAGCTATATGGCTTCAGTTGGTTGGGTACATGGGCCTATGGTCTTCAATTCAAAGTTCAGGCACTTCGACTTTGAGCCCATCAGCGGGGGAAAAAGTTCACAATGTAACTTTTCGAAGTGGCTTTGCATTTTAAATGACTGATTTAAAATGTCAAAGACACGAGCAGGACATTAATTTTGTACCAATTTGTTCCCTTATCTATGGTAAAGGCATAAAATTGCGACGGGGAAAGATTGTAAAATTTATATTGAATAAAAAAAATGAAAACAAAAACACCACGTTTCAAATTGTAGTTTCTCTGGCTTGATAATTTCTTTTGCAGTAATAGGTAATGGAATTCTGGAAATCTGTCCTGAATTGAACAGGTTTTGTAGCTGTATGGCAATCTTCTTGAAAGGAGTTGTTCTATTAGAAATATAGATAAACAATAGAGACATCTGTTGTTAAGAAGGACTCAGGATAAGTACTGTATTCAAATTTTCAAATACTTTCTCATATTATACATATTATATATTCATATTTTATTATATATCAGGCTTACAATTTCTTCCAATGAAACAATAATATATATAAAATATATTCGACTCAGCAGCTGAGTTGTTACAAGGATGAAATTCACATCTTTCATACATTATATGTATAAGAAGTTTATAGCAGCCAGATTACATGCTACATAAATATATTATTATCACTTTACTGAGTAAAGAATTTATTTCTCTCCAAAATATAAATATACACAAAAAATAGCTGGGAATAAAAACTACTTTAAATAAATTTTCAAAATATCTTCAATTTTTCTTCTGTTTATTATTAAGAAAATAGTATATTATGTAGAATAAACAAAAGAAAATTAACCATAAATATAATACATTTATAAACACCGATGCTGCAGTGTGTAATGATAACAAGATCACAATTACATTTAACGGAAGACGTATAAGATTTTGTCGTTTTATAACTTTGATGATGAAAGTTATTACTTAAATTAAAATAACAAAAATCATATAAAAATGCGTATATGGATTAAAGTATAAATGAATTTAAAATATAACATTATTTGCAGTTGATATGTACATTTCAGATGCAAAGTCCTTGCGAACACAGAATCATCTACTTATATGAAAATATATATATATATATTGCTTATGGTAAATTGCACTTTTGTCATGCCCGGTCCTGTTGTTTGCTGTCACCATCGTCTTGATCAATGACTGCTAACTTTTTTAAAGCTGAACACCAACCAAAATCGAATAGTTTTGCGCTTAGAGCGCCTTAAAGCTCCATCCTCCGTGCTAAGCCTTCGAGATGTCCGTCACAGCTCTGAGTTGTTCCGCGTTAAGTAATTTATTGTGCCGCATGCAAGTCTTCTGAATATCCAACATGTCGGAGTCATGTTGCCGCTAACGATTGCCGCAGAGAACTGATTCCCTCGATCGGCGGCGTACCCATTTTTATACAGGTCGCGACATGAAGCCGCAGCCAGCTATCTACTATAAATAGAGATAAGTAAGTAGTATACAAAACAAACTGATGCATACATATGTGAAACGAGTATTGTTATCATAAAACTTCTACACACATATGTGCATACAGTATACATATGTGTAAACACAATAGATGAGTAAGAAACCGGAAAGTCCAAGCAGGCCGCAGCTACCTAAATACATAAGTATTTCTATATATGTTATGCAGGTATAGGATGCTCTTATCATATGACCCTTGACCCGTGATTGTGTTTATCACATTTTCTTTTCTATCGCTCACCAAAGTCATTCTCGGTGTCAAACAATGCACTGTGGAACGAAAGTCAATTATTCTTGGTATAAATTTGAAAAGTAATATAAAGTAGTGAAATTTGTTACAGTTGATTTTCATGTACATATATTGAAAATGAATAACAAAGCATGAATTGCTTATTTCATTTTATTTTTTCACTTTTAATTACAATTTTAACATTTATTTTATGAAAATTCTGTTTTTGACCACAGTTGATTGATCGCATAAGGGTCAAAGTCAAACTCTTTCAGATGCGACTGCTGTGTTTTGTTTAATATATTCTCTTCAGGCAGTCAAATAAATATATATATATATATATGTGTGTGAGTGTTTATACATACATATGAGTACAGCCATTAATACGTAAACGTATTTACATAAGTTGGAATGAGGCATGATAGATATCCGCCATTTTGGCTATCCACCCTGATAATTTGTTGTTCAAAAGGGGGGCGTTATTTGTTCGACCAATGGTACTACATATTTATTACGAGCTCAAAATTCATCTTAAAATTTTTGCCTGAATAAATACATTTTGAGACAATTTTAAATTTTCGACGGCCACTCTCAAAAGTAGCAACATTTTCAAAAGCCAGTGGAATGCATTTCTTATATTAAGGTAAATAATCAAAAAGACCTTTTTTTTTAAATAGTTATGGATTTAAATTTACACTGGTGTCAGTGTTTCAAAAGTCAAGACAAAACGATAATAAGGGCAGAATAAGCAAGGTCATTGGCTTTGGTGGCCTTTCAGTATCAGTAAAATATATTGTATTTTGTATATATTATATAAATGTGCACATATATGTATATTATTATGTACATTACGCATGTATAAATGAAAATCATCTTCAAGAGTCTTTGGTTCATGCTCTGAGAGATTATTTGAACCTGAATACAGATAAGCCAATTGGCAGCATTAAATAAAGTTGCGTCACAGAATAATGAATTTGTTTAGCTGACATTACTAATTGATTATTTTACTGGAGTCACAATCTCATGTCATCATGAAGAAGTAGATGTAAATATAAATAATACTTTGTGATAAAATATGTTAGTCAATCTTACCCGTTTTGTAAATGTTTAAATAAATGCGGTATGTTTACTTTCATATTTTATTTTATACGGCATAAATCAATTACATTTTTCGATCTTTAACATACATAAGTTTTAACAAACAATACAACTTAATGACTACCAAGAATCCGTGCCCAACTGCATTTGAAACTGGTCAACTAAGACTTCCAATGAATCCGACTTCGATCTCCACGGTCAGTTCCAGCTAGTCCAGGCAGGACAGAGCAGAATTGCAAGCTCCATTATACAGATAAGATTACAAATATTTTTGTGGTTAAGGAAAGGGAAATGAGTTCGCGTTGTGTGTGTTGCCATGTGAGTAACTGTGTGTGTTTGTGTGTGTGTGTGGGTGTGTAGTTGGAGTTTTCAGTAGTCCTAGTCGCACGGTCACAGTAAAAACTCCACCTTGCGCAGTCGTTGCTACTTGTTCACGCTCCGATAGATCATGGGAGCCGAGCGATCATTGGTCTTCGTGTGACGCAACTTGATTGTGGCAAATTGGGAGGCGCTGCAAAGATGAACGCAACTTTGCGAATACAACATGGCAGTACATACATAAATATGTAATTGGTACTACTGAAAAGAGCACTTACAATAGGCGTTGTTATAGCTTCTTTATACAATTGATTAGAAACGGGTATTATAGCTTTTTACATACATTGGAATTTGACCGGGATTGTATTTTTGTGGACGTGCTTTACTAAAATATACTTCTATGCAATTGTATTTTGTCGTTTGCTTTCAATAGCCTATCGAGTAGTTGCGATATATACCGCGTCTTCTGCAAATACAAAATATATTCATAATATTTCCACTCATTGGATGTGTTTGCGTGTGTGTGCTCAAATAATGTAACATGATGCAAGATCTTAAGTCTAAAGCAAAAAATATTTAATATATATATGTATATATATGTATATATTTATTTATGTGTATATGGTTTATGTATTTTTCTTAAAACGGTGCGTTATGCAAGGCACCAAATAATGGAAGTATTTTACTCGCATTGCGAGTTTATACATAAGTAGTAAGCAGTCAGCATTTGATGTGTGTGTGTGAGTGTGTGTGCAGAGTTAAAAAAAAGAGCTCAACTTATCGTCCTTCCTGTACAAAAAATCACCGGAATATGCTCAGTAATACTACCCAATTCCACTAACCAAAGAACAAGTGGAATATTATTGGAATCCGAATCGGGTGGCCTTAAAAAATATTATGATTATTTTGTGTAAAACAAAATTTGGTCTTAACTCCACGGGCTGTTAACAAGTTCTGGAAATTGTCTGAATGTACTTTGTTTAAGAATTGCATGTTTTTGTTTTTCTGGGCTCCTGCAAGCTGCACAGTTTAACTCATGCTCCCTTCAAGCCATCAATCAGTCGCCGCCACGCTCGGCGCATTTTCTTCTCTGGTAAGAAAACGGCGAAACTACAACTCCTTCCTCTCACAACATGGCTCACTTCATCCAAACCACAACTCCCTTTTCCTCTCCCTCTCCCTCTGCCTCTGCCTCTGCCTCACTTCAGTTTACCGCTGACGGGCTTCTGGCCATGCTGCTCTTGATCCCAGAAATCGTACCAAGGGCCGTAGCTCTTGTTGCCCACGTGCGCTTTCAAATTGCGTTCCAATGTTGCGCTGCTGTTGTTGTTGTTATTGTGATTGTTGTTGTTACTGCTGGAGGAGGATTTGAGCAGGCGGGTGCGGGGCAGGATGGTGGCTGTGGGTGCTCCCGCATTGACTGTGGAATTGCGGGTCAGTGTGCTATCCTGCTCCTTGGAGTTGGACTTTTTTAGCGTATTCGTTGCCATTGTCGATGTGGACGAGCGAAATGTGTGAAACTCCATCTGCTGTTGCTGCTGCTGTAGCTGATGATGATGATGCTGACGTCTCAGCTTGTCATCTTTGCGCACCAGATGATCGTTGATGACAATGCAATCATAGGGATCGGAGCTGGTTGACTTGATCTCTGCCTCGGACTCATCCTCGCTAGTGTAATACTGCTTGAGTATATCCTTGCGCTTGAGTGTCTTCATCACCATTCCATGATGATTGCCACTGGTTGGATTGCCACCGGCATCATGCTGCATATCATCAAAAAAGTTGTTGACATCGCTCAACTTGAGTGTTCCATGCTCATCGCTTTCACCCTCATCCGTCGAATGAAGTGGAAACTGTTGTTGTTGTAATTGTTGCTGCTGTTGCTGCTGATGTTGTTGTTGCTGTTGATGTTGCTGATGTGTTGGCTTGGATCTGCTGAGCGTCTGCGACTTTTGCTGCGGCGTGGAGGAAGCAGAGGCAGAGTTAGATCCCTGTTTGTCCAGCTTGCGATGTCCATGGCCATATTCCGACTGCTGCTGTTGATGTTGGTGTTGATTTTGCGACTGGCCACGACGCATTGTGCTCAAGCGTTCGCTCTCCGAGGGCTCTTCAATATCAATCTCAATGGTCTTCATAATCTTCATGCGTGATTTGGGCGTATAGCCGCTGCTCCTCTGTTGCACTTGCTGCTGCTGGTGCTGCTGGTGCTGCTGTTGTTGCTGCTGCTGCTGTTGTTGTTGTTGTGGCGGCATTGCTGGACTAATCCCATAGATGTTGTCATCATCATCGCCATAGATTTCGGTGCTGGTAATGCTATCCTTCCGACCACGCTTCTCCTGCGACGAACTGGAGTTGTGCGACTTGGTTAAAGTGCCATTGGCATTCGTGTGTACATTGCGCTCCCGATCCTCATCGGAGCGCGGCTCCTCGGCACGCAACTCCTCAAGATTGGGTGCGGCGACCAGATCGCGATGCTGCCACAGCGACATGCCGGCGAGAATATCCTCGCCGCTGCGTCCGCCGCCAAATTTCCAAAATGATTTGGTTCGCTTCAGGCCCGCACTCGATGCCTGCAGTATCTCATCGTCCGAGGCGATCAGATCGTAACGCATCTTGCCACCCAACCGATTCAGGCTCTTATCATCAATCTGGCTGTCGACGCTATTGCGGAAATTACGGCTCAGCGTCCAGGAGGCCACATCCCGTGGCACCGTATGCGTATTCGTATCCGCGCGTCGTCTTTAGTTTGGTTTTCATTATCGGTTTTGTGTGAGATTTTTCATTGGTGTGGATTTGTGGGTGCGGGCGGGTGGTTAACACAAAGGATGCGACAATGATGTGGGTGGTGGGTGGGTAGAGCGACAAAGTATATAATGATGATACATGAAATCAAAAAAGAACAATTAAATAGCAAACAAAAAGTCAGTTAAACACATCAATTACAGCAAATCTATAGCATTTTCATGGGGTGGCATGGATTAGTGACAATAGCAGCCAGTTTGATGATGATACAGGTGCCAAATTGAAATCAAATATATATATAAATGTTGCTGCTGTTGTTGTTGCTCAAGTTTAACATTCTATGAGTAGGAATCAAAATTAGGGGCTAGCCTTATGAGATGCGAGATAGAACAAATAGAAACAATAGAAACAGACACTTTGAAATGTGACTTGATTTTAGAAGTCTCAAAGCTCAAACCAATATTTATTTTTTGGATTTTTAGCTTTTAGCTTGAGTAAACGATCACCAAATTAAAAAAGATCAAGCATTCATATATTGGAATTAAAAACAATATTAGAATGATCAATAACAATAATAAACAACAACAACAACTGAACATTTAATAATATCTGATCAAAATGGAAGCTTACCGAATGGGCACACGTTGTGTGGATGCCTCCTCATCGGAGTAATCCACCTCCGGCTGTGGCGGTGGCTCATTGGCGAACCCGCTGTCGTTGCTGCTATGCAGTGACGTCTTTGCAGCCGCCGCCGACTTTGTGGACTGTGGTTGACTCATGGAGCTCTGCATGGCAAATCATATTGTTATGAATACAGATAAGTACAAGGTTAACATTGTATTATTCACCTGTGCTCCGTTGAGCAGCTTCTGCTTGCGCCTCTCAACGGCTGCCGGCACACCATTGGTGGCACAGAAGCTCTGCGAGCTGTTCAGCATACGGGCGCTCTGGTTCTGGCCATTGGGCACTGGTGCGGGCAGTGTGGGTGGCGGACCGGGACGTGGATTGGCCGCCGAACCGGAGCGATATTTCTTCTGCTGTTTGATGGTATCGCCGAACATGCGTGTAGGCGATGATTCCTCGGCGCTGTGATTGCGTCGGCGCCGATAGGTGGCGTCGTTCTCCATCAGATCCAGTTGCGCCTCGTATTGCTGATGTTGTTCGTGGTAGTTGCTGCGCAATCCGCTGCCGCTGCCAGTGGCGCCACCACCACCATTGCGGTCATAGCTCATGTGCATGTTCTCATAACGCCGGCCGCCAGATGGCGCCAGCTCAATGCTCTCCGCATTGGTGTAAGCCACTGGGAACCAGCCAAAGTGTTGCGTCCGCAAATTCTCACCAAACTGCCAACCCTTGGCTTTGGCACCCACAAGCGCCAAACGATCGCCCTCCTCGAAGGACAATTGATTCTCCCCCGATGGCATATACGCATAGAGCGCCTTCACCAGCGGACGCTGATCCCCACGCTCAATCTCTCCATGCGGCTCCTCAATTATTTTGTGTTTACTGCCTGCAAAAGATAATCAGTCATTTTTGGGAATGTTCAATCTCGACTCCTGCGTGTAATACATACCTGTGATGGGTCCTGCGCCGACCAGCGCCAGATTAAAATCGGATTTGGCACGGGGCAGCGAGTTCTGTGCATAGTGCGTGGATCCCAAGGCGCCATCGCGTTCATGCAGGGTGCGCATATCGCCATAGGGTGCATCGATGCTGCGTGACTTCTTCAGCTGAGCGCCACTGATTTGTTCATCCTCAGCATCTTTGATGCGTTCCTAGAATAATGTAGCGGCGACAAAATGTTAGGCAGATGTAAACAGAAAACATAATGCAAAATCTTAAGCAATCTATCTCAAACTGAAATTTGGGTTGTTGCTAATTACATTTTTCCGTTTGTAAAATTATATTTAGAAGTAAGAATTTTGCATGCAAAATACACATACAAATTTACACAAAGTCTATGAAAAATATGAGATTTACTTTTTGTAATTCTGTCTCCACATAATTGTTCTTCTAAAGAAGTAAGAATCGTTAAGTTCTTTGACTAAAAGAGTTGTTAGTGGCAGTGGCAAGGGATTACTCACGAGGCGTCTTGTGTTGCTGTTGCTGCTGCTGTAGCCGCTTTCGTATGCGGCCGGCGGTATAATCTCACGAGAAGCGGCAATTTCTTGCCAATTTTCGAAATTATTATCAATTATTGTTTTGCCAGTGGTGTGGTAGGCCATCCAGTGCTTGGCTATCGAGCACTGACGCTCCAAGACGAAACCATAGCGTCGACGCTCCTGTGTCATGGCCTGTTTTTTGATTTTGTTTTTTTTTTTTTTTTTTTTTTTGGAAAAGCAAAAGAATCATTTCTCATTCTCGGAAGCCAAGCAAATGAGTTGGGAATGAGAAACTTACGTTCTTATAGCTCTGATCACAGAATATATCCAGCTTCTTCTTTTGATCCTCCAACAGTTGCAGACTCTGTCAAAATATTTCATATTTTAGCAATTGTTTTTTGTTTGTTTCTTTTTTTTTGTATTTTTTTTGTTTTGCAGTTCTGTGGAAATTAACTTACTCTCAGCTCCTTTTCAGTATTCTCGGGCGTTGCCTTTTTCTTGCGCTGTTTCTTCATTGTGGAGACAGCCTTCTGGTAGCTCTCCATGCGCACCTTGTGCTGCTGCATGAACTTCTTTTGCTCATGCTGCACCACTTTTGTGTCCTTCTCCAAATTTGTCTCCAATGGCACCAACAGATCCACGTAGAAGGCTTTCAGCTAAAATATACCATGTGTATTAATATTATGTGTGATATATTTATATTTAGTTATCTATACAAGTATTGTTTAATTTTTATTGGCAAGAATTAAATTAATAGAGTTTTGAATCAAGTTTCTTTCAACGATTCGAACAGGTTTAAGTCAAATGAATTCACATCCATTCAGTTATTATTTAAAAATATCTTTAAAAAAAAATGGCTAAACGGGGGTTCTTCTTTAATGCAATGCTTTTAGAAATCATCAATGTTTCATTTGAAACTTCATTAAATAAATAACTCTCTGCAGAAAATACTTAGCAACTTGAAACTTATAGGAGCCACTTACAATATTCATCTGTTGCTCCTGTATCTCCTTGTTAACATTTACAACGCTCATCAAAGCTGAACCTGCAATGGAATTTAGATAAGTTGAGAGTATATATATCTCTATATCTCTGTATATATATCCATATATCTCTCTTCGTCTTCGGAGGTCTTACCAATATCGCCTGTTCCGCTTTGTTGCGCATTCATTGCAATCTTGGCCAATGCTTCATTGAATAGACGCGAGGCAGTTGCGGCACCTGTTGCATATACATTTATAATGGCACGAAATGCATTACAAATTAGTTAACTGTATGCTATACCATAAACTTCTATATGTATTTGTACAGTGAGCCGTATGTGAGTGAGTATGAAATGATGATAAGTTATGTGCTCACCATGCAACGCCTTCAGGTAACTTTTGCCCGCTGCAATTAGCTGTCTGGCACCCGGGTTGAATCGATCGAGTATGTTCTGTAATTGAATATATTAATATTAATGCTATTTAATACACGTTTCTATGCACGTCAATTAACTATAAATTATGAACTGCCATCGCATACCAAGCGACAGATCATTTAATAAAATTATATTTCATGTTTTGTTTTTGTTTCTTTTTTGATTTGTGTGTGTTTTTTCTTTCCATTTCATTATGTCTGATATCAGTGGCTATTTGTTTCTTGTAATGGTTTTTTCACGACTTGCTTCGGGTAGTAAAAGTTCGTTGTGCAAGTCACATCGAACATTGCTGTGGTCAACAAAAAGACATCAACATCATTAGTTCCGCGTAAGCTGGCAACCAGGGACTTGTGTAAAAGTCGCAATGCACCTGCACATTTGCCTAGGCAATATAAGTGGTGAATGGACTACTGCATCGACTTGTGTATTAAAAACGCCATCAATATAATAACCATGCACATTATTCACTGAGAAAGTGTAATGGCAGCTTTCTTCGTACATATATTTTGATAATCCACATAAGCAGACAGATTAAAGTCAGATTAGCAGACTTCCAAAAGTAAAAGTATTTCAATATTATCGAGCTTACATTTTGAATTTTCAGAATTAAGTAAAAGTATTTCAACATTATCGAGCTTACATTTTGAATTTTCAGAATTAATATTAAAATAAATTAAGAAACACATTTAAGACAAGTTAGAATGCTCGAGTCGAGAGAGTTCGACTGGGAGAAGACACAGCTTCTAGTTTTAACTAACTTTGCACACACTGAAATGTAGCAAGATTTTGTTGGCTGTCGCAGGTGCTCAAGTGTCACAAAAAAAAAAAAAACAAAACAACACGAGCTTTGAACATACATATATGCACATACACACGCTTTCACAGATCGAGTGCCTCTACAGAAATCACATAGACATATTTCTTTGCTTTGCTTATCAAACTGTTTGCTTGTGTATAGAAAGTACGTGCGATTGCTGATAGTAGTGTGCCCAACAGATGGGCAGACAGATGGACAGACTGACAGATATGCTGATCAGAAATATATGCAGATGATTTTTTTTCTGTATGAATTTAATATTTTAAAATGTAAGCTTTAAATGAATACACTCAAGAACATAAAAAGTTACTCACTCTATAAATATATTTATATTTCATTTTTATTTATTTAAATTTATGTATTTATTAATGTTTCATATTTATTAATCTATGATTCCTCGAAACAAAGCCAAAAATGCTCGCTGATAAGAAAAGGGCATTTAAGTCAATCACTTTTTTATTTTTCGCGTGTCTGAATTCGGGGCAATTCTGGGAAAACCCAGAGATACATTCAATGCCAAAAGTGCGGGCAGAGTATAAAACATCTGACGATTTTGGATTTGATTCAGTCAATTATCAATTGAAGGCTGTGCAAACAAAATGAAATTAAATTGTTTTAACTGTAAATATATTCTATATGTCGTTCTGATCCTTATCATCGATGAATCCTCTTTACTGGCTGCAGCTAACAAAAAGGGGGTAAGCTCAGAAGTTATGAATAATGAAGATAATAATAATAATACATAAGCGAAATATTCTAATTCGAATATTTATCAGTCTCAGCAAGCATCGAGGAGCGAGGTGAATCAGTGCGCAATATATGCCTATAACGCTGTGAAGCCACTACTTAGCCATATACGAGAGCTGAAGGCAAAAGTGGAGAGCAAAAATAATGAAACATCCATGAACAATAGGGTAATTGAAGAACTACGCGAAAAGTTATTTGATTATAAGGCAACTCTAGCTAGAAATACAGAATTGAGAAATGAGATAGATTTCTTTAAGAAGAACAATGATCTGCAAATCAGCCATATGCAATCAATCGCGAATGAATTACGTAATCTTAACTCACAGAAAATTGGGGGATGTACAACACAAGAAACCGATAGCGATTCAATAAAATGTAAGGAATTGAACTATCACTTGGAGGAATTGAAGTATCAGTTGACGCAGAAGGACCAACAAATATTAAATATCCAAGAGGATGTCAAAAAATGTGAACAGAACTTGGAGCATATAAATGAGAAACCCATATTAATTGGTTGCCCGGATTCGTCGGGTGTCCATAAGATCAATACTTCTTATTCCTTTGATGCTTTATGTGAGAAGGAAGGTCCTGAGAAAGGAGGTCCTGGATGGACAGTTATCCAGCAGCGAATCAATGGAAAAGAGGATTTTAAAAGAAATTGGTACGCATACCGTGATGGTTTTGGTTACTTTAATGGCGACTTCTTCTTGGGCTTGGAAAAAATCTTTCAATTGACGAACAGCCAACCCCATGAACTCTATATACATCTGGAATACTTCAATGGAATAATCAAATATGCGAGATATAACAAATTTGCAATCGCTGGCGAATGTTATGGATACCCATTGAACATAAGTGAATTCAGTGGCACTGCCCCAGATTGGATGTCAGAGTCCAACAATCAGAAATTCAGAACATATGAGACTAAATGGTATATTGATAATTGTGGAGATGCTGGCTGGTGGAATCCCGAATATTGTATATCCAGGTAAGCAATTGACAATCAGCATCGTCTCTCAAACAATTGCATTTTTAATCATTTCCTTTCTTGAACAGTTTTTCAAATGAAGAATCATATGACAACTATAATAACTTGAATATCAATGAATGGGATAGCAAGGTGAAAAATGTCAGAATGCTTATACGCCCAACCAAATTATAAAAATTACACATATGTAATATGAATTGTAAATATCTCTATCAGAGTTTTCAATTAAATAAATCTATATTCAAAATTATGTAAATCAGAACATTGAAGAGTAATCGTGTTTTCCTCCGTACAATATTGATATTGATATATAAATATATTGATATATGAAATATACGCTGTTAATATTTTAACTTAATAACTACACAGACAAATACAACAGAATGACAGCATTAAACAGATAATGATTTGCCTTACTGAAACTCAATTAATATTGTTTATCATAAATCACGAAATCAATCAATTGCATACTTTTAAAATTAAATTCATGGAAATATAAGCACTTAAATGATAATAAATAAATTGCCCAATGAATGCATTTGAATACAATCGCAGGTGCATAAGGTCGCAATAGATTTATTTTGGGTGACGTAAATGGTTGTTGTCATCTGGCAGATAAGCGATGAGGTACGTAAATGAAGGTGAAGCCCGCGTATAGTTTAAAATGACATCAGCTCAAGCCCAAACATAAGCATGATGGCAAAGACAACAGCTCTATTTAAGCAGTACACACATGAATCCTGGGCTGGGCTCTAAACAAAATGTGGAGAAAAAAAGACAATGCCCAACCACTGAGCCACTGAACCACTGAATCGCTGGCACGCAACAGTTGAAACACTCAAAAAGTTGTAAATGAGTCACAAAGCGTTTTATTGTCTCGACACTTGGCCACTTGAACCAGTCCCAGAGAGGAGAGTGGGGCATTGCAAGAGTAAACCTGCTCCGGCATAATTAATTACTAGACGCTTGATTATTGAAAAATATTTTGCTAAGAACTCATTTCCGCCAGGCAAGTGAATAACACAAAAGCGCAGCACTCATGAATACAATGAGTACGAATACTCAATTGTCGAAAAAAAAAAAAAAACAATTAGCAACAAACTGTCAAAAACAAAATATGTATAAACTTAGGCATGCAATAATAAACAAAATTTTGTTTTTCTCCCGCAAGAAAACAGTTCAAGTTGTTGTATACCCAAGTACAATGGCATCTTGCCAACCCAAACTTAAAGCAATTCTTGGTTTTAACTCTATTTTTATTTGCCTAACAAATTTATTAGCTGCAAATGTGCGGCATCAAAGCGTGGGAATGCATTCACTCAAACTGGAAATCAAACGAAAACAAAACAGATACACAAGGTTACGCTCGGCTTATAGATATATATATCTATATAGATATCTATATCTATTTGGATATGTACTACGATCTGTTGCGACTTATTTCGAGTGTTTACTTTCATGCGAGACTCCCATTAAATGTTGAATATACATTGGATTGTTTAATTAGTTGAAGTGCGAGGGCATAAAAAGTGCGCTAACCCTGACATAGGCTAAGCACCCTGCACTTAGATAGATGAAAATGAATCTACGAGATACATTTGTGCACCTTCAACTCCAGTGCAGTATGCGGTTTATTGGGCTACCAATGTTGGTTGTTTTTTTTTCCTTTTTTTTTGTTTTTGATTGATTTGTGATTGTTCACAATTCAAGTGCTTAGCCGGACAGTTGTGATAATTGGCTGGGATTAGTGGCCCTCATTGGCATAAATGCTTATAAGACCTTGTTGACCTCAAAATGGTAGTCAATTTCGAAAGTTCTTTGGGATTCTTTGATTTGATAAAACCATATATATGTTATATACGATTATTTATCAAGAGAATTATGCATCTGTATATGTTTTATGCCACTATATCTAATATGTATATGTTTTATGCCACTATATAGTTAAACTAAATTGTATCGCATACATTTCCATCTTTCACTGCGGCTGGTCGCTTTTTCTTTCTTATGCAATGTAGAAATGAGCTGACGCAACGCTTATCACACTTGCAAATCTCTTTTTTGCCAGTTCGTAACATTTAAGCCAAAATAAATTGTGTAGCCCCAAGTGGCCGCTCAAAGTGGGTCCCGAGAGTGGTCGGGTTTAATCGACGCTTAACATAAATCGCCAATTGCGCTCAGCACATGTAATTTTTTAATTAAAAAAAAAGAGTCGCAATACAAAATGGGGGGCAACTATTTTGTTAACTGTTTTCACCCCTCTCTCACTCCCTGGCAGTGTGCGGAATTTGAGGCACGCGAGGAACGAGAGGCACGCGGGTAACAGCAGCTAGCTGCTGGTATAATATCAAATGGGCCTGGCCATAATTCAAACGACGCCAACGACCACACCCACCATATGGGCATGCGAGAATGCAATCCGCCAACAAACACAACAACTGACAACAACAACAACGCCAACAAGCACAAGCCGCAATTATGCCAATTAGAAAATTAAAACATGCAAAAAATAAAAAAAAACACGAAAATTTAATGGAAGGCAACCAAGCACGCAACAGGTTAAACCACATGGAGAGAATTACAAAAATACAAGCTGTTGACAAAACTTTAGCTGAAGGCGTCAAGGCGTAACCTCCTCTATGCCAATCCCCCTCTGCACACACCCTTCTCCCCACTCTACTGAGAGATGAGCGCAGCGTGCGTGAAAAATGCTTGCAATTTGCGTGGCTGCCCAGTCCAATAAAAAGTGTGTGCAAGCAGTAAGGCTTCCCGCCCCCTTGGCCCACTCGGACGTTGACCCAGTTCCATTTGGCTCAAGCCTTTCTCTCTCTCTCGCTCTCACTCTCTGCCTGACTCTCTCAGCCGCAAGCTCTCTTTTACTCCGTGTATCTAATGCAGCAGCAGCCTTAGAAATGCCATCGCCATCGACTCACACAATCCGTCACAGTCTGAGTTTTAGTCTCAGTTCCAGTTCCAATTCCCACTTTGCTCTTTGGCACTCGGGGCTAGAGCATTAGGCAGCGACTTTGTCGCCTCCATCCAGTGACTGCAATTTTCATTTATATTCATGGCAATTTTACACTTGCTTTTTTTGTTTTGTTTTGTTTTGTTTGCAGTTGGGTCGTCCCACTTGTGCATCATGCTGCTATGCTGCTGTTGAGTGGCTTCGCCTTCAGACCAGTTCACTGTACCCCCTAGACACATTATTGTCCACCTTGCAGACAATCAAAATCAATTGAATGATATTTTGTTACTGGCCACCTGGGCATCATCTCAGCGTCCAGAATGTGCCATAAATTATAGTTAAATAATTCATCAGGCTGACTAAAAACTGGCTATTCAGTTAGAATGAGAAAGAAATCAATCCAAGTTATCGCTCTTCATTTCAGATTCAACTTCGAAACTTAATCGTTTAATCAGTGTATTACTTCTGTAAATTATTTTACGAACTATAATTTGTTTAAAAAGTTTGCTAAGATTAAATGTTGAAAAATTCAGAATATCGCTGAAGATTACTTGATTTTTAATATATTACTATTCAAACAGCTTTAGTTCAAATGCCCTTTTTCGGAAAGCAGCAGTAAACGTCAAAAACGTAGACTTTTCAAGCATATCTAATCTGAGCTAAGTTTTTATTACCAACACGTTTTTGTTATGTTAACAATTAAGAGTGCTAAATAAGCTCTTTTATCGAATACGGAATAGAAACCCGAAAGATGCTTCAAAAATGTCACAAACTAGACTCATTTGAAGCGATTTTAGCCAAATTGAATATTCGTTGGCAATAAAACTAACTGGTAATTAATTAATTTGCAGAATAACAAAAACACAATAATACATATTATTATAGTAATAGATCAATAAATCACTCAAAGCTGACAGCATGTCATAAGTCCGAGATAAATGTGGAGTTTGACGTTTAAATCACCGCGGAATTAAATATACAATTTTAAAGAAAATGTGAGGAAGTGATTTGATTAATTCACAGCAATTCATATACTTCATTATTACACATAGAGATACAGTTGGCAGTTGCAAGCTTCACAACAGGTTCGTTGCCTCAGTTTCCTCAGTATTTTTGCGAATTTGTCACCATAATTAAATAATTTATTTTCCTTTTGGCTGTGACAAACAAAACACCAAAAGGCCGAACAAAAACAAAATTGAAATGCAAATCTTGTTCGAGCCAAGAAAATGCATCCATGTGCAACATGAATAACCTGAGGAAGCAGCCTCACTCACAAATTTCCGCAATTTTCGTAGCTGAAAACCGCAAAACAAAAAAAAAACAGCTGCTAGCTGCAAATTGTGAAAACTAACGGTTGCATAATGAAATAGATGCGCGAAATGTGCAACGCCCGTGTTGCAGCCCGCTTCAACTCTGCACCCTGCCCGTAATGGCAGATGCCACAAAGCGACGAAACTGCAAAATAAGCAGAAAAATTGCCAAACTCGCAAGAGTGTATTTTTGTTATTGTTTTTGCAACTGCAACACTGTGTGGCACAAACGCAATTGAACTTGTTTGCTGCGGTTTCGTACGTTATGTGACAGCCGCTGAAAAATCTATTGAAAACAACAACAAAATAAAATCCAAACAATAAACAAGAAATATTTTAAAGCCACGGCTCGTCGTGACCAAGTTTGAGATTTTCAGCCACCGAAATTCACTTTCAAATGTCTGCCTGCCAAACGGGATTTACTTGTAAATACATAAATATGGCTTTATGTTTTCTTATTTTTGGTTTTTTTTTCTTCTAAACAATGTTTTTTTTTTTTGTATTTAGTTGTAGGGCTTTTTATGGACATCGCTTGCAGTGATAAATTGAAAGTCGACTTTTAAAGACAACTACTTTGGGATAACCACAGATTAGATGCCCGTTAAATACTCAGACTTATCAAGAAGACTTATATCTCGGGGTTTTAAGTAGATATTTACCATAAGGGTAGACAAATGACTAAAACGTTTGCTATAATAAATGGCATTCATTCACCAAGTTGGGATCATTAAGTGCCCTGCAAGCGTTTAGAAAATAAGAAATTAGTCGTAGACACCTAGTAGAAATGGCCTTCACGCAATGCGACTTTGTTTTTGTGTTTATCGTTGTTGTTGCAGTTATGAGTTGGTTACGTAAGAAAATTGTTAGCGAGCATATTATGTAATTTGCCACAAGGCAAATTGTTTTCCCAGATTAAAATCACATTACTCTCAAATAGACGCCTGATAAATAAGAGCTTTTACCTTGACCGAACTGTACTTTATTATATGATTTGAAATGGCAATGAAAATCAAACTGAAAACCTCATAGAGCAAAGTTGTTGCTGTAAGTATCCAATTAAAATTCTATAAGAATAGTTTAAGGCTTAATGGTAAATTTCTGTTGTTTCAATTACTTATTTAATTATCAAAAATCTAATTGTTTCTATTTTGATTATCTGCCCCAACCTACGAAGTGCCATAAAAAGCACATTTAAGTTTCTTTATTACCTCTTTAAGTACTCAAAAGTAGAACACAAAACAAAAGAAATACAAACAAAAATAAATAAAAAACAATAACTTACCCTATAAACGCCATCAACGAGTTTTGTAATTTCTTCGGCCTCCATTGTTGAACTTTTGTTTTTGGACGTGGATGCAAATACAGATGGATTATCGATGAATGGCCAGAAGAAGTAACGTCAAGTAGCTAGTCTTCAGCCTGCCAGTCTACCAGTCTACCAGTTTACAGTATACAGCTACTGAAGCCGAATATAATTGAAGTTTACAAGCAAATTCACTTTCGGCTGCAGCGCCCCAGAGGCAGGTTTGACCGAATGTGGCTCAAACTGCGACTGCACTCGATTTTCACTTTCTAAAGTGGCACACACAAACACAAAAACGCACACACATACACTCGAACACACACAGATACGTTGAACCGGGCCAAAATGTGTAAACTTGTAACTTTGACTTTCGGCGCAGAATCTTGGAAATCTCGTTTTGAACCGCTTTGGATAATGTCGTGACTTTCTTTTCGGCAGCCGCACGAATCTCCAGCCACGTAACCAAAACTAAATAAAATGCCAACACGTTCAACGCGGCAACTGTTTGTCGGCTATCGGCTTATTTGCTTCTTTTTTATTTTTTTTTTTTGGGCTTTAAGTTTTTGGTTTTTCTATTTTCGGATCTTATGTAGCGTATCGAGTATTTGTTTGCACGATAACTTTTCGACGACTTCTACCGAATTACACGAATTACAGTTTCCAACGCATGGAGATGATGGGGCTGATTGAGTTGTTAACAAAGGCACTGTAATCAGATAGAAAGAAAGTATTGGAGAAATGTTAAGCTCATTTGCATTGACATAACAGATAACTTATCTATATCGAATTAAATCAAATTGTTTTATTTTTTTAAAGTTACAATCAAAATTGTATTTCATCTAATATATTCTTTATATTAATGTTAAAGCTACCAAACTATATATTAATTTAATTAAGTATTTTTCAAGTAAAAAAATAGTTATTTTAAATTATTTTACTATAAAAAATAATTAAATGATATACGAAATAATGATGAAAATATATAGATATAAGAATACTTCAACATACTTAAGTAATATCTACCTGCCGAAAAATAACTGAAAGTTTTCCATATATTCTTACGGCAACAGTATTAAAATACCAGAATTCAGTATTTATCTTTGAGTACAAAGTTTACCATGGAAACTGAACTTTTCGCTTTGTTTTATCAATATCTAGTTTGCAGCTTTTGTAACACTTAACACTTAAATTGAGTAAGTAATTGAAACTAGCAATATGAGCAAATTAGATGATTTGCTGGCCAAAAAGAAAACGGTGGTGCCCGTTTTGGATTTGAGTCGCAGCAACATACAGTCGGTAGAAGAGTTTAAAAGGTTAATGGAAAAGGTGCCCGACTATAAGATGCGACCGATAAAAGTGCGCGCCGAGGAGATCAAGATACGGGATAAGGATTACGCATTCAAAATGCCCAAGAAGGAGATGCGAAAGCTTCTGAAGAGCAACGGAGAGCGTGAGACGCTTTACAGCTATGCGGATCCGGTGCCAAGTGAAATGAAGGATGTGGTCCTAATGGAACTATGCGCTGTGCCCATCGACTGGAAGATGTTGACCACACTGCGACCCAAGTCCAAACAGGAGGAGGAGTACTTCAGTCGGATGGTCGAGATGGGCAAACTCGAACTAAAGACCGAGGCGCGAGATAGACGCGAATTTGCATTAAACAATTGCATCAAGAAAATTAAGAACAAGTCGGGAATTGTGGAAACGCGTCTCGTTACCTGCGAATCGTGTGGCGAGGAAATGTGCTGGGGTAATACATTTATATCCTAGATCTATTCTATCCTCATTCTTATCAACCACAGGCAAAACCTGCGGTGACTTCAACTACGATCTGTATGTACGTGTGGAGGCCAAGGTGCTCAAGCCAAAGCCATTGGCAAGTTCGACCAATAAAACAAAGCTGAATGGACGCAAAAAATCAACCTTAAATGCCACTAAAATTAAAGTCAAGAAGTCGCCAACTTCTAAACAAACTTGAACTGAAGCTGAAGCTGGGCACAAGTCAGTCAACAATAATAATAATAGTAATCATATATCTCACTTTTCATGGAACTTTACATTTACTTATATTAATTCTCAGAGTTACAGCAAACAGCTAAACAGTTTTTGCCACACAAATGCTAATTGTGCTTGGTACTCGTGACCAGAAAATTACATTTAAAAAAAAATTAATAATAATACAAACTCGCTTTCGCTGTAAGCTTATTGCTTTATTATACTTATAAATCATTTGACGCGTTCACATTCCTAATGGAATTGCTGCTCAATATAAGTCTCAATATAAGTCTGTCTTGTAAATTTGTTTAATTTAATTATGGATAGCTTTTGTATACAAAATCCACAGTTTAAAAGTTAAGAAACTATAACAAACTCGATAAAAAATTGAAATGAAAAATAGGAAAATATAAAAGAAATGAAAAGAAAAGAAGAATGCTTTGCGAGGGAGTCCGACTAGGAGATACGCTGTATCCAGCTGTTAAATATATTAAATCGATTAAAGAGCTGGTTCTACTGATGTTTCTAAATCTCTACTTATTTCTTCAACATTTTCAATTGATTGCTGCAACTTATCTAACATTTTAAATTGAGATACACAATAAATAACATAATGAATTGCTTAAGTTATAGATATTTTGTACTAAGCTTTATAAATATTTTTAAAAATATTCACCCAGTATCTACTCTCTTTAAAATTGTCGAATTTCTTCTGCAAAGAGATGGACAGACTGTCGGGCATGACAAGATCGATATGGTTGTGGATATTGATCAGGAGTTTATACAAGAACATATATAAGAAAAGACCCAATGCTGTTGTAGATGCTTTCTTCTGTTTGTTAAATACATTTCATTCTTTTCCAATGGGTTCAGCCTGATAAAAAAAAAACACACACACACACAAAGGCGCCACACAAAATTCCTAAAATGCTAAGCAGCTAAATGAGACGCCGGCCAAATGCAAAACAGTAGAAATTTTCAATATATTTTCTATGGTCATAAAAAGGCAAAGACACAAGTTGCCTACCGGCCCAAAAAAATAATCAAAAACAAAACAAAAACGCAAAGTAAAAAAACCAAAATCAAAGTCAAAAAGCAACGCTCAAAATGAAATGGCTAAAATATTTAAATTGCTGCTAAACAACAGAGGCAAATAGTCATTAAGGCAAAATAAACAAGCCAAGGCGCTGTCGCTGTCGACGTCGACGTCGTTGTAGACGTTGCTGTTGACGTCGCTGCCGCAGCCGCTGGCTTCAACAACAGCGCCATTGGCGGTAGCGACAACGCTCCACGTTCCCAGTGGCAACCACCTTTTATGCTTACTTACGGGCCCACATGGCCGGCCCCACTCGCTTGTGCAACGATTTGTGCAAGATTCCATCTCCAGCTCCAACTCCATCTCCCTCTCTTTCTCTCTCTATCTCTCTCAAGCGTATGTCTGTCTCTGTTTTTCAAAAAGAATGCATTGATCGTGTCTGAAGCGGTTGCACAGCTTTTGATTACTAATGAGTTCAGTTCAGTTGTGTTCGTTTTCGGTTTCGGTTTAGCCGATAGCTCTGATTTATGTGGTTTATTTATGGAAATATCTATTCGCGTTGAAATTGAGAATATATACTTTGAATATCAAATTTATAGCACAGCACAACTTCAAGTTTTTTATTTAGCCCTCCGACTGCGGAATTTCAATTTGATTGTATCGACCAATTTTTTTCAATGTTTTCTGTAATGAATCTTACCAAAAGCGCAGGGCCAAATTGTCAAGGATACAAAGTAGGTCGGAATTCAACAGCTTGGAGAATACACCCATTTTATATAATACAATAATCTCACTAAAATGCTAACTCAGCCAAGATAAGCTTCGAGGCATTATACAAATTTTCAAATAACTTTAAAAATACATGACAATCATTGTTATTATTAATTTGAATACATCACTTAAAGCAAAAAATAATCTGAGACATTGGTATTGGTATTCGGTATTAGTACCGGGCATCCAAACGGAAGTCGGACAATTCAATTTGAATGCTGGCATTGTCTTATTGAACTTTCAACAAAATGAATGAAGAGCTAACTCAGCACGTCAACACCTAGGCCTATGCCACTTTCAGATCTTGTCATCCAGCTGTAAGCCTTTAGACGTGCCAGCTATTACGTGGGCACATATAGATATTGAAATGATACCACAGCCAAATACAAACAAAAATCAAAACTAAAATAACAATTATAAAAGCACATGAGGAAAACGCATGCGAGACTTATGAAATCGCTGTCGCATTTCAATATTCAAAGATGCAAGATAAACAACAGCTACGAGTTAAGCGGCAAGTGAGAGTGATGAAAATAGCTCGTAACTCGCTGGAATTGTGAAGAAAGTTGAAATCTATTTCACGTGGCTTGGTTTAGGTACGGTTCGAGTTGTCACTGCCACGCCCCACTGCGCCCCAGTTAGAATTGCCATGATGGCAAACATAGACAAAAGACTTGGGCAACGAACTGGCGAGGCATACAGCATTCCTCAAGCAAGGTTGCCACTTGCGGTCAACGCCGACAACTGATACGCTGAGAAGCTGCAGCGCAGCTCGTAGCTCGCAGCTCACTGCTCGATTACAAGCATAGAAGTATCTTGCAGATGAACAGATACCTGTACTCGAACTCGTACCCATAGTTGCACTTGCCGCCGTTTTACAACAATTTATGAGCTACCTGCCCCAGCTGGTTGCCTGGCGCTTAATTGCTCGTCTACAATGTATGCAAAAGCGATGTTTAACTATTAAGAACAAGGCTAACTTGACAATCTGGCCAGGCCGATAGACAGGCAGCTGTGCAGCAGTTAATAACTCGACCATGATAACAGCATATCTCTCTTTAGAATTCCAACTACAAGAACTAATCATTCTTACTATACACTCGAAAAAAAAATATTGTCTTTTTATTCACAATTTTCAGAGCACTTTCTTGTTTTGCTAGCGTTAATGTTAGATTTCTCAATTTAAGATTATCCATTTGAAAATCAAAATTTCCTCTCCAACTAATCTGATAATTAAAGCTTACTTTTTGTAAAGAAATACATTTTTAAACTCTCCGTTAGATTTTCCAATCGAAAAGAAGCTCTTAAGATATGACTTCCCTTTCCTGCAGCATCTTTCGATGTCTTTTACAACTTTCGCCAAATCGACAAAAGTCAACAAACACAATTTTCCAAATATATCACGCAGAGAGGCAGACAACTTGAAGCAGCTGTCCAACGAAAATAGTTAAAGCCAGAAGAGCAGGCAGAAGACAAGGCAAACCCTGAGCTGTTATTATCAAATGCTCATCATTAACATTTGGCTGGCTGGCTGGCTGGCTGCTGTTACCAGCTGAGCAGAGATCTCGACGTGACGATCAAATTGCAGTAACTGATGCGACCAACAACACGTGTGACGAGGCACACAAACAAACAGATTGTTGTTGCTGTTGCTATTGCTGTTGTTATTGTTATTGTGAAAATGAAATTAAACTAAGCCGAACATTGTTACACAGACAATGATGCACAGACATGAGCAGCTAAGAAAATGGCAGCAGCAGAGGGGGAAGCTGTGTACGCTAAATTGCCGCCAGATACATTTGCAAATGAGTCTTACACCAGCATAACAGCAAAACAGCAACAACAAAAAAGAAGAAAAAACAAAATAAAAAACAATAACATTGTGAGCCGATGCAAATTGAGCGCCAAAGTGTTGTCTGCGGGCCTCCACATTGAGACATTGCCCCCCCAACAGGTATACAGGCGTTCAGGCAAATTATTGGCAGTGAAAGTAAAAGTTTAAGTTATTTTCTTTTGGGCTGTCGAACCGAACTCATAACCAACAAAATAAGGGGGCAAAAATATATAACAGCAGCCGTGCCTGCAAATCAAATTAACATATTTGTACTTGTTATTTTTGTTATTGTTGCTCTGCAGCAACTACTAATTTAGACGGTGTTAACTCAACCAATTGATTTGAATTGCCATTTTTGAAATTGTTTTACCATGTATTTGAAAAAGGGCAGCAAAGCGAGATACAAAGATACATTATAACAATAAATAGGGTATAGGGGCAGAAAGGTATATCTCAAATGCCTATTTTCAACAATGAAAAAAAGGCAGAAGAATCGAAAGAAAGTGTCTTCTCCAACTTTGGCAAAAATAATCAGATTTTCAAAAACCAGAGCATGGTTTAACCTCTAGTAAAAATTCATGGAAAATGCTTAATGGAACGAGTCAAAACTTTCCACATGACTTTTTGTTCATGGCTTAACCTCTTGATTAATACTACATTCAAAGTTGGAAACATGATTCCACTTCGAAATTCATATTAAAATTGTACCCCCAAAAAGTGTATTGGGGAAGTGTCAAAAGTGGATCATAAATAATATTACCTTCAAAGTAGAAAACTGGATTTTGGTTCAAAATTCGTGACCAAAAAAATACTCGCAAAATGTTTCAAAACCTGGCAGGCCCAAAAGTAATACGAAAACAGTGTTTCGGCATACTTAAGCTAAAATACCTTTGTATAGTATAAACGCGTGTCTACGCAAAAGGGTATTAACTAGTCAAGCACACTTTGACTTGCTCCCATCAGAGATAAGCAAAAATAAAACAATTTAAGGCGGCGTTCTATTAACCCACTAGCTGGCGTTGGAGCTGCAGCAGTTGTCTCGTAATTGGACACACCTAGGCACCGTCTAACCAGCCGGCATGGGCATCTTCATGGGTATCTTCGACCCGGACCCGATCGTGACTTCATTTGGCAACGTTGCGCACGTAGCTGCCGCATTTCTGGAATCTCTGTGTGTTGTGTTTTGTTGTGTTCCTGAGAGAGCAGAGCCGTCATAAATTAGGTGTAGATGGCATCTCAAAGTGCCGTCGCCAGCTCTCTTCTTCTTCTCTCCTCCTCCTGCTCCTCCTTTTTCTGCTGTGCGGTGCAATTTAATGGCGACACAGACACTCGTTACACGCCC